AAAATCACGTGGTGATCTACATCTGAAATTTCGGACTGTTTTCGAATTGTGCGGTTTATAGATGATAGCCACCATAGTAATAAACAAAAAACCGTAAAAAAACCGTAGTAGTAGTAGTAGGAGAAAAAACATAGGAACCGTATAAACCCGTAAAAACCCGTAAAAACCCGCAAACCCCCGTGGTTTGATTTGATACATAACATTGCACATTGTTATTACTCTCGCAACTCGGCTGGCATCTCAATACGTATGTTGTCATCTTACATAGTTTGTCGTGATTGAACTGTTCTTCTTTATGGTACTAATTCATGACCTGGACACGACAGTTCTGTGTGCCGTGAATATGTCGCGATAATCGAATCATCGTAAGCAATGAATCAATACAAACTACGTTAAAAACGAAAATATTAGTGTTAATGACATTCTTCATTATCTAGGTTTTATTGAACGCGGATCAGAATTCATCTTCATTGTCGTCTTCTTCTACTTCTTCACTGTAAACCCGTCTCCACAATTGCCTCCAGTGACATGTTAAAGTGAATTTGTTATAGCTGTATGTTTGTTGGTATTCTTTTGGATTGCACCGGCCCTTGCCGTATCATGCCGATTAGCAAATACAGGTTGAAAAAGAGTATTTGAGAAAGAACAGGCATTACTTTAGCATATCACGGATGCACGAAAGCTGCTTTTACTAATCACGTCACCAGTTAAAATTGAAAATATCAAGTATACACTTCCGTCTCAAAAGACACCGACCATCCTTACATTGGTCAACGAATAATGCCATTACCACGATAAAATTAGCTTATGCAACTCGAATTTTAATGCAAAACGGCGCTATCGGATTTATAAAGTAGTTTGCTTTTTCGTTGAGAAATCCGGGTTACTATTGATACATCGATAATCAGATGTAAATATTAACATATACCGAAGGCTGTGCATCTAGTGTACATACACATATACGACTTTTGTGTCATCGAAAAGTTAAACATGAAATCATGCATCTAAAAGTTTAAAATCGTTAAAAATAGACACAAGATATACTTATTAATAAGCCCAAAGACCTACTATTATATGCAGAAACTTTAGCCATTTATCTCGCGTCGTTGTTGAAAGACTAGAGTATGATTTTCACTTCTATTATCGTTAAAATATTAACCGAATAATACTCAAACAACTCACTCTAATTGTCAATTAATATATAAACGCTCACTTAAATTGTAAAATTATCCGCTGATAAAGTACGCGAAGAGCGGAGCGGGACTTTCTAACCAATTATTGTTGTTCGTGACGGAGATAGAAGAAAATAAAAACGATTGATTCTGTCTCTATTGTCTGTGATAGAAACAGATACTTATTGACTTGCGTTGAACCGAAGAAAACAAGCCCAAGTCGATTTGTGGCTTTTTATTCTAGTGTTTGAGAACAACAAAAGCATCATATCTATCGTTTGTCCCATTTTTTCTGCCTTGGTCGATTAAGATTGTTTCAGGTAAGTAGATCACCAACACCAAGTAATTTGACAAGAACCAGCAAACTCAACCATTTTTATGGGAAAGTATATCACAAACTCTCGGCAACTGCTGCAATTCGTATTATATTGCAGAGCACATTTACTTGACAACGATAATAACGTCCCACCTATTCCAATACGTACATTCAAGTAAGGTTATGTTACTGATTGCAATTTTATGTATCCGAAGCAAGACGTTTAAATCCGTAAATCTGCAATCGTGATTAAGATAAGAAGATGAGAAATTAGAATGAGAGACAATTCTGGAACATATTAATGATGACAGCTGACGAAAAGTGTTGATTTGCCGAATTGTGTTTCTGCGGTGAGTAGTCGTATGAGAAAAGGTGGAGATTGTTGTGTGCTAGCTAACCACATGGGTGAAAAGGTGTAATGGTGTTCGGCGTTTGCTCAAAAATAGCTTTGCGATTCCGTTAGGCTTGTCTAATAGATTGGTCGAAGAAGAGATGGTGAGGACATATCGTCCTGATTCTAATTGAATAATGCGCAGATTCTGTGGAATCGAAACCGATATTAATATGGGATAGGTGGTCCCCTCTGTATGCAATTATGATGTTCATGCTTTCCGACAAATGTACAGCGAAATCCCGGAATAGGAAGAATGTGACATACCTGCATTAGCCGCTATGACGTGTAGGATATGGTTACGTGCATGAGGGAGGATGATTTCACGCTTAAAACGCGGATAGATGTGATTCCATGATAGCGGATGACTTTGACTGCTATGATGAAGGTTAAGATGCACAGATGCAGATCTAGAAATGATATAGGTAAAAGTAAGGATCAATATTATTCCGTCTATTCAAATTCAAGAACTATGTTCAAGATTTCAAGAATGCTTACGTCGAAGTTGGTGTGGCCGCAGCACGCCCTTCATCGGTGAGCAAAAGATGAATGGTTGTATAGAGTTGGAGACACAATAGTCAGCTACTATTTACCGATATAAGTATGTAAAACTCCCCTGCTGAAGACATAGTATAATATCGCTCACTTCTTGTGATCATGAGATAAGATAAGCGCTTTTCAAAATTTTCTATAAAAGGAAATTGACATTGGCGGAAACGTATATATAAACATTCACGCCTCGAACATCATGGGATGGGGTCAATATGGCTTTCTCGAAAATAAAAAGAAAGAAAAAGAAAACTAAGCATTCCAAAGGACAACCCACAATTTGAATCAAACACGACCCCCCCCCCCCCTACATGATTTTTTTTTCTTCGACTAAAGCCTTTGGAAAGCTCTTAATTGTTGGATAAAGACAGCCGCTCTGGGTAAAGAGCAAGATGACGAGGAACGACGTCTTCATTTCCAAACGCAACTGGTAGAGCTTGGCAGACGGTACGCTACAGGATTACATTCATCTTTCACCAGTCTAACGGATTCAAGAGTTTTGGAATGCTTCTAAAAACAATATTATACCAAGTGGTCTATGTTTTCCGGCCGCCGCCGCATAAATGTGGTTGATGAAAACAGCTACCAGAATATGTTGACGGAACAATGCGGAACTTTGAAATACTTTATATATTGGAACGTAACGTTATTGCAGAGCTGGACTCGATATAATGCTACAAAACGAACACTATTGGCGAATACTAAAATCATGTACTAAATTGATATATTAATATCGATGTAGATACCTCGATATAGTAAGTCTCGATACAGTAAATTTCGCATTATAATTAAGGATTTCTCTGATACAAAAACATTATTATTAAATTTCCCTTGATATTAATATAATAAAGTTATATAGTAAGTCTCGTCATTAGATATTAATATAGTCAAGTTTTTTTCTCAAACAATATTAGTAGATATTATACGATCTTTATTTCCAAGCTACGATATCCTGCTAATACTAAATATAAAGCTAGTTTTAACTTGACAAAGTCAGAGGTGAAATAAAGAAGTGGCCAGCCGGAAAACCTTAACATGGGAGAAGTCTAGTGTAGAATACTAGTTGCAATTTGAGACCAATGTGGAACAGGAGGATGTAGTAGTAGGTGACTATAGCTTATAATAATAAGGAATGATAACATGGAATTGAGGGTTTGATCTGGGGATGGAAGAGGAGAATGTGAGAAAGCATAAGAAGTATAGTCTGTCCAAATTGTCCAGAGGGCAGCAGAGATGAGAAGATGAGCAATAATAAATAAAGTGAAATTGTTTAAGATGGGAAGAGTGGAGAAGAGTAGAAGGGCTTGAGTTATGGTGAAAATAATTACATAGCTTGATGATACATGACCAAATGAGAGAAGCATGAAAATATGTGAAATAGATAGAGGGCAAACATGGCACCAAGGACATGAGGAGAATTTTGGAGACTGCTAAACCTATCAGGAGACCAATCATAATACAAACACGTGTTGAATAAGTGAGAGAATTTTAAAATATTACCTTCAAAAATGGAGCCTCCATCTCACTTGAACTAAATTTATACAATTAGCTGATATTTCAAAAATGTCACAGGGCACGTCTACGAAATTCACCTTGGTTGGTTTCTGTCACATCTATCTCAGTAGCTCTTCTCCATTATTGTCATAAACATCTTCATTTCGTGGTTTTTTCCTTGGATCACCATCATAAAGTCCCATGACTTCATGATATTGATTGGAGGTAGATTTTTCAAGAATATCAACTGAGCACATGTCAGCCTTCCGTTTGATCCTTAGCTGTGCAGTTTTAAAAAGGCTGTTAGATATGTACATCTGATGGTTCATCCACCTCGTATTAGCATAGTCTAACAGAAGAATGAAAGTTACTGGGGATGAAATAGTCCCTGTTTTTCTTTCATAATGAATGATTGCTGGCTGTTTTCGATGTCAAGCCATAGTTCTCTGCTCGGCTGTTCATTTTTTAACTAGAATTAACAAAATTCAGTTACTATATGTAAGAAAAAAATTTTTTGGTAATGCAAAATCGCATGACAACTTGTGGGGTGGATCTTCGTGAAGAATCGAGACGAGTGATGAAGTGCGGTATCAAGTTTCAGGGCGACACCTGCTGAAGCGCGTACATCACCCATGCAAGAGACGAAAGCGTACACCCCAATTTACGGACGACACCGGCTGGGGAGCTCACATCTCTTGTCTGTGCTCTTCACAAGTTATTATTAGATACGAAACATCACCCTTTCAATGAACTGATTTTCTCCAATCGTCTTTTCTGCGACTGTGATGAATCTTTTCTTCCATATGGATTTTTGGTTCCATAAAGACTTGTCGCCAATCTCTGCAACTATGAACGATTTGTTCTCAAGCAAAAAGCCGCTGAAGGACAATTCTTCGTGAGGCTTCGACCTAAGGTATGAGGTGATCACTATTCATACAATTTTAATATAGACAGCTCGTAGTAGCATAACAGTAGCATGACATTGAAACCGACCCGAATCCACGTCGAGCGCTTGCATCGTTCGTCGAAAGAAAAAATTGTGCAATCCGCGAATGTCGTGCCGATCACCTGAATTCTTTAATGGATCGTGACACGTTTACTGCGCCGATCTCGTGACACTGACACCCTTCGCAACGGCTCCCTTTACACATACTATTACAAATACTGTGCTCTTTTCTCTTGCTTATGCTAATCGTTTCAGCTCTACTCAGGCGTCCTCGGTATGCGAGCTACTCGTTCTGCGTCTCGTACTCGTTCTGATGATTAAGTTTCCAAGAAGGTCCGCACTCACAATCCTGTGTCAAGCACTCCTCCAGAGCGTTCTGTGCAAGATCCTGTGGTGATGAAGCCTTTAGACGGGAAGCGACCAACCCACCTCAGCAAACCAGAGTGAATGCATTTCCAAAAACATTGTATGCTACTGAATGGACACTCACAACGTTTGCGGAAGCAGTGCGCACACGTGTAGCTTAAGTTTGATACACATCCAGGCACAACTCTGTCAATTTGTGGTGCTGTTATTGCCGATAACATCTGCCGTCCAAAAATAAGTGAAAAACAACCATTTAAGACACTTCACCGAATGCTGGTAGGTTTGACAAGAGTGCTATAGTACTCTACAAGTTCAGTCGTCCATTTCTTGAAAGCTCAAGTTGACGGCTGCAAGTCCAAGGACATAACTGCTGTAGCTTGCCATCTCTTCCACCTCTAGAATTCCAAGAAAGACTTTCCGGACGGAAAGCTGTATCAGTCACCGAACATTTCACAAAATCCGATGGGGAAGTGTGTTTTCCGAAATTTTTGTCGATCATTTTCCGAAGGCACATATAGTCACACATATGTAAAGTCAGGGGTTGGGATTTTGCTGCATAACCACGGTATTGAATGTCACAATTGAACACCTGATATGGTTATAACAAAAATTTTACCTCTTGGCATGCTTTTTGCAATGAAATAATTTTTTGTTTTAAAAGAATCTGTTGACAAAGTTTCACCCGGCAAAATATAATAGTATTAGAGTTTCTTCCCACATTGTGTATAGTTTCTTCGGGTTACAACTAGACGCTGGTATGGCCATACTAATAATAACAGAGTTCTATTCGTAAACTACTTTTTTAATTATTACCACTTCGTTTTACGCAGCAACCGTTTTGGAGAGATGAGCGAAAGAAGATCCTGTAGTAGTACATACTGTATATATATTATATATACGTATACGGAGAAAGTGAGAGCGCAATGCGAAATCTGAGACTATTCTGTTAGCAGGCCACTAAAGTCGCCCTTATATGTTTTGAATACAGATTGTTACTACTAAGAGTTTACGCAAATGCCAACTGTCTTGGCTGTCAGTAATATGTAAGTTACATTATCAGGTAAGCTTCCCATTGCAATAACAAGTTGCATTACTAGTCATGAAGAGTCATGAAGGAATGTGCTTTTGACTAACCCCTCTCGTTGTATACTTCATTTTATGATAGTCCATTGAGAAATTGGGACGCAATATACTGTATATAATATATTAATACGTTAAAACGATCGAAAACACGAAATCGATCTCGACAACCAAGAATCCAACGCTCATGAAATTTACAGGCATGTGCAAAAGATTGATACGGAATATTAAGTACAATTTGAATATGTGTAAACGGCTGGCTTGATCCTTCAAAGACGCGAAATCAATTTTCGTCATCAATCACTAATAAATAGCCACAACCAAAAACAATGCATAATCATATTAGTCACATGCAATAGTGATATCCAACAAATATGTTAAGTTTCAAAATACAACTTGTAAAAAAATCCATTTTGAACGCTCTTGCAATCTACCCTAACCCCAATGAAATTAGGACTACAGCTTGGTACTTACATAAATTCTTTGTAGCTGTTGCAGTTGTAATACAGTGACTCACAAAACTGGCTCAATGTTTGGAAAAATTAAACGTATAGGCTTATAACTCCACAAATATCCAAC